CAGAGCAGGGAGCCCGATGTGGGACTCGATCCCAGGACCCTGGGATCATGACCTGAGCTGAAGGCAGACGCTTAACGACTGAGCCACCCAGGCGCCCCATGTTTCCTCTTGTTTTATTTCTGCTGCTATGTCTTCATAATTATTGATCTTTTGTTGTGTTTAAACTGCTGTCAACCCCATCCAGTATATTTTTGGTTTCAAATACTGTATTTACATCTCTAGAAATTTCATTCAGATCTTTTTTTTTTTAAAGATCTTATTTATTTATTTGACAGAGAGACAGCGAGAGAGGGAACACAAGCAGGGGGAGTGGGAGAGGGAGAAGCAGACTCCCCGCTAAGCAGGGAGCTCAATGTGGGGCTCAATCCCAGAACCCAGGATCATGACCAGAGCCGAAGGCAGACTGAGCCAGCCAGGCGCCCCTAGGTTTTTTTTATAGTTTGTCCTGCTTATCATGTTTATCATTTCATTTACCTCCTCAAATTATACCATTGTGTTCGTAATGCCTGTTTTAATGTTCTTGTCTCCTAATGTTATCGTCTGTGTCGTAGCTGGGTCTGTGTCTATTAATGGTCTTCTCCTGGTTCGGGGTCACGTTTTCCTGCTTTTTTGTGTGTCTGGTAATTTATGTTTGATGTCAGCCATCTCAAATTTCACTTTATTGGGTGCAGGGTGTTGTTACTTCCTGTAAGCACTGTTGAGACTTGTTTTGGGATGTGATTAAATTAGTTTCAGTTTCCCCCTCTTGGGGCTTGTGCTGAGACTTTGTGAGGGTGGTTCCTGAGCTGCCTTTATTCTCTGCCTCCTGCTGAGTTTGTGCCCTTCTGAGGATTCTCCTTGCTGTTTCCTCTTGGGAACACAAGCCAGTCCCGGCCCTCCGAGCCCTGGTAATTCTTCCATCAGCTTTTTCCTTAAACTTACCTGATCCATCAGCCACAGACAGTAAGGGAACCCTGTACAGATCTCTTGGGCTCCGTGGAGCTTCTTCTTCTCCAGTACTCTGTCCTATAGATTCTGATTCTAGCCAGACCTGCCCAGTGGGGGCACCAGGTCTGTGTACGTTCCTGCTCCCAGGACGGTAGCCTGTGCTCGAGGTGACAAGCCTGTCGGCCGCAGGGCCCACCTCACTCATTTTCCGTGTCCTGGATCACTGCCCCATGCTTCCTGTTCTTTTGTCTGGGGTCTGGAAAACGTTGTTCCATATGTTTTATCTGGGATACTAGTTGTCTGATGTGAGAAGGTGAGCCCACCCCCATCACTCCATCATGGCCAGAAGCAGAAGTCACTGTAAGTCCTCCAACTGTGCTTTTTTAAAAAAATCTGTGTAACTATAAAATATGTGTCAATCCGCTTTATGTGTTACATTTATTATATACTGTATTTTTACAATAAAGTGAGCTACAGAAAAGAAAATGTTATTAAGAAAACCCTAAGGGGGGCGCCTGGGTGGCTCAGTCGTTAAGCGTCTGCCTTTGGCTCAGGTCATGATCCCAGGGTCCTGGGATCGAGTCCCGCATCGGGCTCCCTGCTCCTCGGGAAGCCTGCTTCTCCCTCTCCCACGCCCCCTGCTTGTGTTCCCTCTCTTGCTGTGCCTCTCTCTGTCAAATAAATAAATAAAATCTTTAAAAAAAAAAAAGAAAACCCTAAGGAAGAGAAAATACACTTACAGTGCTGCCCTGTAGTTAGCGGTGGGGGGAAAATTCTGTGTATAAGTAGACTCGTGTAGTTCACACCCGTGTTGTTCAAGATCTGCTGCATTTTCCAGTCAACAGTAGTTAAGTTTTGGGGGAGTCAGCAGTTAAATGTAGATTTTCAAGTACATGGGGGTCAGCACCCTAACTTCCTTGTGTCGTTCAAGGGTAAACTGTAATTTTATTTATTCCTGGTTCTTTGTATTTCCGTACAGATTTTCAACTCTGCTTATCAGCTATGGCAAAAAGAGCATTTTGGGATTTTGATTAGAATTGCATTGAATTTGTAGATCAATTCAATTCAGGAAGTACTGATATCTTACCAATATTGGATTTTCCAAATCAAGAACTCCATCTCTTTAGCAGTGTTTCCGTTTTCAGCGTACGGGTCTTGGACATATTTTTTAAAGGTATCTCTGTTTTCTATTTTGTATTTTATATTTTATGTTAAATACAGAATTTTAAAAATTTTCGTTTTTCAATTATTGTATATACAAAAATAATTGTTTTTTATTATTTTTTTAATATTTTATTTGGGAGAGAGAGCAGAGGGGGCAAGGGAGAGGGAGAAGCAGGCTCCCCACTGAGCGGGGAGCCCGACGTGGGGCTCGATCCCAGGACCCCAGGATAATGACCTGAGCCGAAGACACTTAACTGACTGAGCCACCCAGGTGCCTCAGTTGCTTTTTTAAATTAATCTTGTATCTTGTGATTTTTCTAAATTCACTTATTATTTTTAGTAGTTTTTGTAGATTCCTTAGGATTTTACCCCACACATCCAACATGAGTGAAGACAGTCTCGCATCTGTGTTTTCAGTTTATGTGTGTCCTGTGTCTTGTGTCGGACCCCCTGCTTCTTGCTCCTACTCCAGCATGCAGCTGACTGGAAGTGACGGGACAGACTTTTGATCTTAGGAGGACGGTCTTCAGTCTTTGTAATGAAGCATGAGTGATACTGACTGTAGGCTGTTCTTATGTGTCCTTTATCAGGTTAACAAAGTTTTCTTTTGCTGAGAATTTTTATCATGAATGGGTGTTAAATTATATCAGATGTTTTTCCTGCACTGTTGAAATGATTGTATGGTTTTTATTCTCTTACTGTGGTGAATTACATTGACTTATTTTCAGATGTTAAATGAACTGTGCAGTCTTGGATTAGCCCTGTTTGGTCCTGGTGTATTATAGTTTTTATTACTGAATCTAATTTGCTAATGTTTTAAAAGGAATCTTCTTTTATTTTTATGAGGGTCATTGGCTATAATTTTAAAATCTTTTTCATTATGGAAAATTCAAGCTTACCCACAAGTAGAGAGAACTGTAAACTGCATCCAGTGATGGCCGCCATGTGCCTGTTCTGTGATCATCCACACCTGGACAGTCCTGCTTCATCTGTACCTTCTGTCCGCCCCCACCCCAAACTGGATTATTTTGAAGCAAAACCCAAACAGCATATCATTTCATCTGTAGGTACCTGAACATAAAACTTAATCATAATACCATTTCACCCTCCAAATAAATCCTTTGTTAGTAGATTCAGACATGCACTTAGTGTTCACATTTCTCCAACTGTCTTTGTAATTTTTTTAATTTATTTTTGTATTTGGATCCTGACAAGTGTATGCTTGTGAGCACTCTCCCCCACCCTCTTTGTTCTGCAGTTTCATTAGTGCATCTGTTTGGATCCAAACTCAGGTCATCCCCTCACTTTGTCTGCAGTACTTTATGCTTCTGTGTACATTCACATCTGCCCTTAGTTCTGGGGACTCTGTTGGGAGCCCTCTGACACCGCCCGCCCTCCACCTGGTTCCCCGAGCCACCAGCCCTGCGCTCTGTGTCTCCATCTGCTTCTGCTTCCGTGCTGCCACCTTTGTTTGCATCCATCTTCAGTCTAGTGTTTGTTTCTTCAGCTGGTTTGAATCACATGTTTCCCTTATTTTGATTTTAATGCTAAATTTATATAATTTCTTTTTATTGAGATGTCATTCACACATCATAAAATAAACCTTTTTGAAGTATACTCATATAAGGTCACAACTGTCTGATTCCAGAATTTTTAATCACTCCAAAGGGAAGGAAGCCCCCAGCCCATCAGCGGTCATTCCTGTCATGCTCCCCCAGCCCCTGGGCTCCCCTCACTGCTCTGTCTCTGGGGGTCCGCCTCTCTGTGAACACTGCAGGTGAACTCAGTCCCACAGTGTGCTATCTTTGTGTCTGGCTTCTCTTAGCTCGGTGACGTCAAGGTTCGTGTCGTGGCGAGCACAGTCTTGCTGTTGTAGGGATGCGTGACATTTTTTTATCCACTCATGGATTATATCTGGGTTGCTTCCACTCTCTGTCTGATGCCATTCACGTACAGGTTTTTGAGTGAGCACACATTTTCATTTCTCCTTGGTATCTATGTGGGATTGCTGGGTCATATGGGGACTTCGTGTACGTTTGGGAAGCTGCCAGAGTGGTCTTTTGAAGGGGCCCCAGAGTCCTAGACCCCCACCAGCAGTGCACGGGGCACCGTTTTCCCACATCCTTGTCAACACTTGCTATTGTCCATCTTTTCGAGTCCAGCCATCCTGGTGAGTGTCTCATTGTGGTTTTGATTTGTATATACTTACAATTCTACTTTTTAAAAAGTCTTTTCCAAATCCGGCTTCTCATTTTTATAGTGTCTTATTTTTTGCTCACTTTTCTTTGTTTTCTATATATTTTTTTTAAATTATACACGTAATTGTACTTATGAACTATGTAATCACACATTCTGTTTTAGAAATACAGTTACGCATAATTACTCTGTGCTCTGTGTTGATGCCAGTGAGTCTTTGTTGTTCTAAATCTGGTGCCTCTCCTGGTTCTCACTCCTGGTGGCCTGCTTCCTTTATGCTTACTGATACTTTATTTAGAAGCTAATTTTTTATTCTGAGTATTTGGCCGAACTTTGTGGAATTCGTGATCTGGGATGCTTTCTGGAAAACCTGCATTTGCTTCTGGCGGGAGCTAGCTGTTTTGGAAAGTGCACACACTTTTTTAGGGTGACCGCACATCCTGCTTTGCCCAGCAGGCTCCAGGTGAGCCTGTCATCTCAGCATTATTGTCAGTCTTGCTTCCCTTTGCTCTCAGAAGCGTGCTGCTTTGGAACACATTCTGGGCTGGCCTCGCCGCTGTGGCTCCTGGCACTGGGTGACGGCTCACCTGGTTGGTGGGGCCGCTGTGGGCGCTGCCGTGGTCAGCCTCGGTTTGCATAGCAGGGCACGGCACAGCCACCATTCAGCCAGGTGGCAGTGGGAGCTGCCACGCGAGAGGGTGCGTCCAGGGGAGGAGGCGTGGCTGGGCACGGGGCAGGGGCAGGGGCACAGGCAGGGCGCGTGGGGCCGGCTGGGGCGGGCTAGAGACGCAGCGGTTCTCACCGCTCCCATCCTGCCAACCCCAGTGCCCCCGGCGTGGGCCATCCACATGGCCACAGAGGCCCTGGCGGAAGGGCAGGCATCTCTGCAGGGAGCAGCTTAGACCCAAGGCAGAGGGTCCCTCGCTGTGGGGCCGGCAGCCCCAGGCAGCCTATGGCCTGGCCACGGATGAGCTAGAGCCCCTCGGGGCTGCAGCCGCTGCGCCTGTAGATGCAGCGTTCCTCACCGCGTGTTTTGGCCCCGGCCCCGCTGGCTGGCCCCACTTCTGGCCTCAGGTGGTCATTTCCGGGCACCCAGCACCCCTCAGCAGCCTCGTCCGGGCTGTGCTGGCCCCGGGTGGGCAGGATGGGCATGAGGCGGCCGAGGATGCCTGTCTGCACAGATGCTGGCGGCCCAGCCTGAGTCTGGAGCCGGCCTCCTGGGGCGGCTGGGGCTGAGGCCGGCCTCCTGGGGCAGGCAGTGACCCGGCCCGTCCCATCCCCTCCGCGGGCACTTTAACGTGCACGCAGAGCCCGTCTAGACCCCAGCCCAGCAGGCCCCATCTACCCCACGGGACAGGCGAATGGGCACTGCCCTCGGCCGGGCACAACCTCCCAGCCAGACAGGGCCCCAGCGCCCTGGGCAGCTCAGCTTTGGCTAAGTCGTGGTGAAGGGACCTGGTCCTCCCTGACCCGTGGCCTCTGTGGCCATTCTGTATGGCACACAACCCCTCTCCTCCCACAGATCCTTTGCTTCTCCTTTTCTTGATTTCTCCCCCTTGTTGGTTTTTATTTGGGGGCTGGCTGAGCCAGAGGGTCAGGAATCTGCCTTTCGTCCTCCCACTTGGCATTCTGGTTTTGGTTTATGATTAGTTTTAAGTTTTTCTGTGCTGATTGTATTTCTAGTAAACCCCTGGTTGGTGTAGGGAAAAAAACATAAGCTTATTGTAGGTTTTCTAGACTCTCCTGTCGTATATAAGCGCACTCTTCCTGGTATCTCTGCTGCTGGGCCAGGAACGGCCTCTTGTTGCTGCCTTATTAGCTCTCCCATGAGCCGCTCCCTCCACCCGGGCGGCCTCCTGTCGTCCCTCCCGCGTCCGCGTCCGCTCCATCCCTGTGTGCTGCCCGCCTCCTGCTCACGCACCTGCCCTCGAGGCGCTGCAGACCGACCCCGCGCGTTGGCTGCCGCGTCCTGGTTCACGGCGCCGCTGCAGCGCTGTGGTGCCCGGGGAGTGGACAGACGGGACCTGGCCTGACGCGCCTCGGCTCTCACGGACTCCCTCTTACGTGCTGGGAGTTGCCCTTTTCTTTGTAGCGTTCAGCGTTCGGTCTGTGAATTGATTATCTCACAGGTCGGCTGGGTTTCATCCCCACTTGATGTATATGTTCTTACCGCAAAGGGTGAGGAGAGCTGCTCTCGGGGGCTCTACCCCATGGGGCCCAGCCAGCCTGTTTCCCCAATCCTTTACGGATAGGCCCTTGGAACTTAAACTCGTGTCCTTATTTTTTGCTTATTTTGTAGTTTTAGGGTATTTTCCTTGTATAAGTGGATTGTGAAACGTCAAGGAACAAGTGTTTTCGATTTTGACTTACCGTTATGGGACTTTTCCTGTGCTATTGAGGCTGATGTACCCACGTCGGGATGGATTTGAAACGTACGATTTAGGTCAGTGCTAACCTCGAGTCCGTCTTCTTTTATAGATGATGCAAAAGGGTCATCCTGCTATCAAGATGACGGCGGTCCGGTTTCCAGGACAAGGCTCTGGTCTCCGCTGCGTCAGTTCGTGTCTGCGCCCAGAAGCAGGTCGTGGCGGGGCTCCTGGCAGGTGGTGCTCCACACCCTGAGATGAGGTGGCATGCTCTCCACATGCCCTCTTCTTCAGTCAGGTTTATGATCAGCCACAGTCACACGCATCTTGAAAGATGGAATTATTTTTTAAAAGCTGAAGATAACGTACATTTGGGGGCACAAATGAGCCTTTGGATCAGGTTTTTACCCACCTGAGAACATGACGAAGCAGCCAGAGTAGTTATGGTCAGTCATGGAGAATAACCAGGAAACTCATCCCAAAAGGGATGGTGAATTTGTTTCTGATAAATTAAATTTTAAAATAGAAGACGAAGATGTTGTTCAAATCCCTAATCACAGTTTGGAAGGAGTGGAGTTTAAGGGCGAGCAGGACAGGCACCGGGCGGAGGGTGGTGGGGAGCGGGCGGAGGCCAGGGAGGCGGGCCGGAGCTGCGAGCCCCCCGGGAAGCGCCTCCCCGGCGGCCAGGAGGAGGAGTACGGGTCTCTGTTCTCCCAGTACAGCAGCACGCTGTACGACGTGGCCATGGAGGCCGTGACACAGAGCCTCCTGTCGGGCCGCGGCGTGAGCTCCAGAAAGAAGTCTCCGGCCTGGAAGCATTTCTTCATCTCCCCCCGGGACAGCACTAAAGCCATCTGCACGTACTGCATGAAGGAGTTCAGCCGAGGGAAGAACGAGAAGGATTTGAGCACCAGCTGCCTCATGAGGCACGTGAGGAGGGCGCATCCCACAGTGCTCATCCAGGAGAACGGCAGTGTGCCGGCCCTGCCCTCCCTCTCGCCCCCTCCACTGAGGCTGCCACCACAGCCCGCCGACTCCGGGGACTTGGGTGCCGTGCTCTCACCCCTCAAGCTTGCCCCTAAGCTGGCGTCCAAGGTCCCGTCCCCCGATGACATGACGGAGGAGTCGGTGTCTGTGGTGTCCTCTGAAGAAGTCCCCTCCGACGCGTCGGCCTCTGACAAGTACGGCAGGGAGGAGGCCCTGGGGGGGCCGCCGCCCCTCCCCACCCTGCCCTGTGAGGAGAGTGCGGAGAACGGGGCGGAGAAGAACCCCCCGCTCCCGAAGGGCACGTCCGGGTCCAGGAGGCGGTCCGCCGTGTGGAAGCACTTCTACCTGTCGCCCCTGGATAACTCCAAGGCCGTGTGCATCCACTGCATGAACGAGTTCAGCCGAGGCAAGAACGGGAAGGACCTGGGCACCAGCTGCCTCATCAGGCACATGTGGCGGGCGCACCGCTCCATCGTGCTGCAGGAGAACGGCGGGGGCACAGGCATCCCGCCCCCTTACGCCGCGCCCCCCACCCTGCTGCCCGCCCTGCCGCCTCCCGACGGGGACCCGAGCTCCGTGTCGTCCTCTCCCGGGAAGCTGGTCCAGGAGTCCCCCTCGGCGTCCTCCTCCCCTGAGCGGCTGGCTGAGGACCTGCAGGTGCGTTTGAACGCCGGCGACGCCCTGCCCGAAGACGCGTCGGCGCTGTCCTCTGACGACGTGGGCGAGGCCTCGCTGGCCGCCTCCCCCGAGAAGCCGCAGGCTGGCGGCTTGAGCACCAGTCTGCTGGAGTGCGGTGCTGTGTTCCAGCAGAATAAGAAGGTCATGAAGAGGCTGAAGTCGGAGGTGTGGCAACATTTCTCGTTGGCGCCCATGGACAACCTCAAGGCGGTGTGCAGACACTGCGCCTGCGTCATCAGCCGGGGCAGGCGGGGCGACGTGGGCACCAGCTGTCTGATGCGGCATCTGTGCAGGCGCCACCCGGAGGTCGTGGGCGGCCAGAAGGGCTCTCCGGGTGCCAGCCTGGCAAGCTCTCCGTACGCCACCTTGGCTTCTGCGGAAAGTTCCTCCTCCAAATTGACTGACTTGCCAAGCATGGTCACGAAAAACAATCAGGTTCTATTCCCCGTTAACAGCAAGAAGACCTCCAAGCTGTGGAACCACTTCTCCACCTGCTCCGCAGACCCCACGAAGGTCGTGTGCCTGCACTGCGGCCGCACGATCAGCAGGGGCAAGAAGCCCACCAACCTGGGCACCAGCTGCCTGCTGCGCCATTTACAGCGGTTCCACAGCGGCGTGCTCAAGACCGACGTGCCCAGGGCGGCGCGGGCCCCCTCGCCCAGCCTCCGGGGGCCCCTGAGCGCACAGCTGTCAGGAGCTTCCTCCTTCGACGACACCAACGAGAAGTTTTACGACTCTCATCCAGTTGCCAAAAAAATCACGAGTCTCATTGCAGAAATGATTGCACTTGACCTCCAGCCATATTCTTTTGTAGACAATGTTGGCTTTAACAGGCTGCTCGAATACTTGAAACCTCAGTACTCTCTGCCCTCGCCTTCCTACTTCTCGAGGACAGCCATCCCAGGTATGTACAATAATGTGAAACAGATAGTCCTGTCGCACCTGAAGGAGGCGGAGAGCGGCGTGATCCACTTCACGTCCGGGATATGGATGAGCAACCAGACCCGCGAGTACCTGACGCTCACCGCCCACTGGGTCACCTTCGCGCCGTCGGCCCGGCCGTGCCGTGAGGACCACCACTGCTCAGCCCTGCTGGACGTGTCTCAGGTCGACTGCGACTACAGCGGCAACAGCATCAGGAAGCAGCTGGAGTGCTGGTGGGAGGCCTGGGTGACGTCCACCGGCCTCCAGATCGGGATCACCGTCACCGACAACCCGAGCATCGGGAAGACGCTGAGCGAGGGGGAGCGCGCCAGCGTGCAGTGCTTCAGCCACACGGTCAACCTCGTTGTCAGCGAGGCCATCAAGAGCCAGCGGATGGTCCAGAACCTCCTCAGCATCGCACGGAAGATCTGTGAGCGGGTGCACCGGTCGCCCAGGGCGAAGGAAAAGCTAGCGGAGCTGCAGAAGGAGTACCAGCTGCCGCAGCACCACCTCATCCAGGACGTCCCGTCCAAGTGGAACACGTCGTTCCACATGCTCGAGCGGCTCATTGAACAGAAACGGGCCATTAACGAGATGTCCATCGAGTGCAACTTCAGAGAGCTCATCAGCTGCGACCAGTGGGAAGTCATGCAGTCCGTGTGCCACGCGCTGAAGCCCTTCGATGCCGCCAGCCGGGAGATGAGCACCCACGTGTCCACGCTCAGCCAGGTCATCCCCATGATCCACATCCTCAACCGGAAAATCGAGATGCTCTTTGAGGAGACGATGGGCATCGACACCATGCTGAAGTCCTTGAAGGAAGCCATGGTGAGCCGGCTGGCCGCCACCCTGCACGACCCGAGGTACATCTTCGCCACGTTGCTGGACCCTCGCTACAAGGCCTCCCTGTTCTCGGAGGAGGAGGCGGAGCAGTACAAGCAGGATCTAATCAGGGAACTGGAAGTGCTGAATTCTACCTCAGAGGACGCGCCTGTCTCCAACGGCTGTGACGCGGGCTCCCCGTCGCGAGGCGCGGTCGGGGAGGAGAACCTGTGGTCCCTCATGGCCAAGATGACGAAGAAGGGCCCCAGGGAGAAGACAAAGGTGCCCGAGGACATGGTGCTGGCGTACCTGGAGGAGGAGGTGCTCGAGCACACCTGTGACCCCCTCACCTACTGGAACCTGAAGAAGTCGGCCTGGCCGGGCCTGTCCGCGCTGGCCGTCAGGTTCCTGGGCTGCCCCCCAAGTATCGTCCCTTCCGAAAGGCTGTTCAACACACCGACGGAGAACGGTAGCTTGGGCCAGTCCAGGCTCATGATGGAACATTTTGAAAAGCTCATCTTTTTGAAAGTGAATCTTCCCTTGATATACTTTCAGTATTGAAACTCGCAACGGAGCCACCGGACAAAAACTGTTGTTGCTCATCAGGCACCAGCTGTCTGTCCCGGGGCGGTGGTCCGCCCCAGGCGGGGCCGTGTGGGATGAGGCGGGCACGAGCCTCCCCGTCCAGCGTCACTGTAATGTCTACGTGTGCCTTACTCCCAGTCCTGCAGGCCGGGCGTCGCCGCGGGCTTCCCACGGGCCCGCGAGGAAAGGCCTGTCTTGCCGATGATGAAATACGATGATTAGGATTTCATTCATAACTGTAAAGTTTTTTTAAAGTGGGGGGTTAGTAATTTGTTTTACTAGAACGTCAGAGGAGATGTAAACAATTTTATTCTGTAGGCTTTTTATTCAATTATATAAAAACCACAAATCAGGTACTGTATTTTAGTTAAAAATTGCTTTAATTCAACAGAACAGCTTTTGTGGCTGTTTAATGAAATCTGTAAATAGGAGGTGGAGTTCAAGCCATCCTGGCTGAGCAGTTTTTAACTGCAGGCTCTAAAGTATGTCAAGTACAGAGGATATTCTGGAACATAACTGTTTACTGCAACAGAGGTGTGGCATTTGAAGAGGAAACTAAACGTAGACGTGTCCTGGAATGTCGGTTCTGTAGTGATTTGGTAAAGGGAGCGTTCCCGGTCTGTGCTTCTGCATTCAGGTTTTATTTGGTCGACCTCCATCATGAGCCCTGGACACCTGCTGTCGAGCCCGCGCTAGGGGCCTGTCCACAGCACTCCTGCCGTGGATGCCCCGAGCCTCGGACCTGCTGTCTCGACACCAGGAAGCTATCTTCTGAGATTTGTGCACTGACCCCATGACCCCAATTTGATCAAATTATGTATAAAATCGTTTTTAGAAGAGATGGCTCGTTAACAAGGAGGAGATCGTTCTATTGCAGTTGTAAGAATAGCCTTAGGTGTCTAGATTTTTTTTTATATATAAAATAGGGAAGATTCAGCCATCACTGGGGTGTTTTAGAATCCCAAGGACAGCAGAATGAAGCGTCAATTGTCATTCTTTTAACGATGATCTGTCTTCAGAATTTTTGCTTCAACATCTAGAAAAGGGTTCATTTTCTTATTTCAAACCAATTAAATATTCTGGATGAAACAAGTCACTCATTTGCCTGTGACCTTTTAGAAAAGTTTTGTTAAAAAAAAAAAGTACCCATTATTAATCTGGATTTGCATTGACTATGTTTTAGTGTATTTATAAATGGTGAACTCAGTTTCTGAAATTAAACTTTTTATTTGCAATTTTCTACTGCTGGAGGACACTGGCTTTTTATTCTGAGGATGACAGGAGGGTCCTCCTACTCCGGGGAGCCACGCTCACGCAGCCTTCGGAGTTGGAATTTTCGTCATGGCCCCGACAGGGCGGGGGGCTGGGTGGTGGAGATGTGACTCACGGCAGCGACAGCGTTTCTGATAGCGGGAACGCCACGGCGAGACCTCCGGGGCTCGGGTTCACAGTCCGCGCTGCTTCGCACTGGGTGCCGGAGGGGAAGAACATCCCTCCGCTGTGTGGCCCGCGCACGCCCTTCCCGGGCCTCCCGAGAGCAGCCTCTGCCCAGACGCCCAAGGAGCACCGGCCAGGGACACACTGGAGAGTCGTGCTGACGTGGTGCTTTCCGCGTGAGTCTCTGAATGTGTGCGCAGAGTGATGCTGTGTGGGAGCCTTCGCCAGTTTGGGGTTCAGCCCGCCGTCAGTCTTCCCCAGCCAGGCTCTAACCAAGTTGCAGGAAGTGAGTCCAAAGTCCAGAGCAGGTGTTAGGAAGTTCGGGTATTGGAGCCCTTGGCTTCCCCAGAAGGAGCTCCCGTGTCTCTGTTTTGCAAGCAGAGAGCTGCACGCGCCTGCCCGTGAGTTCCAGGAGCCGAGGGGGGCTCCAGTGGAGTACCGGGCGCTCACATGCGTGTGCGTGTGTATGTGTGTGGTCGCCCGGCTCCCAGCAGGGTGCTGGGAATCTGGGACTTGCTCAGGTCTCCGGGGTTGACCCAGGTCTCCACCTGGGGGAGGGTCCGACCACGCACAGACGGCGAGCCATGGGCCTGCAGGCCTCCCCAGCCTGTTGGCGTTGGGTGAGGCCGCCCCCGCCGGAGCGGGGCTCCACCCCTGGACGTGCTTGGGCAGCCCCGTCCGTCGGCTCTGAGGCTGCGGACGGAGATGACTCGGTGGCCCAGCCGTCCTGGCCGTGGGGCTGCACATGGGCAGGAGGGGGGCCTGCCGGACGTCGTGGGCTGTCCCCTGAAAGGAGGGAGCACAAAGTAACTGCAGGACGCAACCTGTCATTTGCTCGGTGACCGAGTGGCCCTCCTTCCTCCCGGCCCAGGCCAGCTGCTGGCACAGAGCGGTGGTTGATGTGGACGCGGTCCCTGCTCATCAGAGCCTGTGGTCTGGGCTGTGCCTCCGCTCGTTGCTGAGCTGCTCTGCAGACGTGATGCACCCCGGGCCCACAGAACACAAGGGTTCGCAGCACATTGGTTCTGTTGCTTCTGTGCTGGTCCACTTTTCTGTCCAGCTTTCAAAACCTGTGGCCTCAGGCTGCTGTTGTCCAGCGAGGCGTGCGGGTGACAGTCCCCATGGGAGGTGTGGGAGGGGGCTGCAGAGCACACCCCCCGAGCGCTGGCCCCAGGGAGGTGCCCCCTCTCACGCATTCATCCCACCCTGTGGCCGGCGGGTGGTTCTGGAACCCGGGTGCCGTCCGGCACTGCGGGAACAGCAGGCCGTCCGTGTCCTCGCGTGGCTGACGGTCCCGCGGGAAGGAATGGCCGACGTTGACAGCGGTGGCCAGCCTGCGAGGAGAGCGGGTCTGTTGTGTGATGTCCCGCCTTCACTCCGTTCAAACCTGAATCGTGAGCTGCTTGTTTCAGATGCCAGATGACGTTTTGGGCGGGCTGCTTAACTTCACTGGTCACTCATAAGAAAAAGCCCTCTGTGTAAGCTCAGGATCTCATTTCAGGGAATAAATGTAAGTCAAACACCGGACTTCATTTAACGTTAAAATGCCCTTTCCTTCCGCTTCTGACTCAGGCGGCGGCAGGGGGCAGACCGGGCCTCCCCGAGGACCATCAGGGCCAGAGCACATAGAGTTTTAAAAGGAGCTTCCTGACGACAGCACAGAGCACGCACCCCTTGGCATCCGAGGAACCAGTCCCGGCGCGCGGAGTCCCCCGCAGGGACACCGGCTGGCGTGCAGAGAAGGTGGCGGCCCGAGCCAGCCACGGTGGCCCCGGGCAGGGAGAGCAACGGTGGCGCGGCCAGGAGCCCAGGTGCTGGAGACGGGGGGCCTCCGGGGGGGCCTCGTGCCGGCTCCCGCGAGGTGCGCGTGCTCGGACGGCGGCTGGGAGCTAAGCAGGCGCCCCATGCGGGAGACATGACTCGGGGCCTGCCGCTGTGGGGGCCCTGGGTTCCAGGGCCAGCGGGAGACCAGCCTGCACACAGCGGGCTTGACCACATCAGGAACACGTAAATTTCTTTCAGTGAAAAGATCCAGAGCGTCTGTAACTTCACATAATTCACTCTGACTCTCAGTAAAAAAAACATAAGACACGCCAAAAAAACAACCGTGACCAAGGACTGTGAGACGGAGGGGAACAGACTAGAGACAGACTCAACGGGCATCCGAGGCAGAGCCGAGACATGGGCTCTGACTAATCCGCTCGGGAAAGTTGACGGAAGGGTGGGGATTGTCGCCAGAGCGTGAGAATCTGATGCGGGACAAGCCAGGGATTCGGTCCGCGGGCCGCGTGTCCGAGGGCGGGTCGCATGTCCCACGGCACAGGGGCATCAGCGGCGTGACCCCGCCCAGCCCGGAACGCTGCGGGCCCCCGGGCCCCCAGGCCCCCAGGCCCGCCTCCCCTGCAGCCTCTGAGGTTTGCATAAAGCACCTTGTTCAAGCTATTTTAATAATTCCTGTGCGCAGCTGTTTTAATGAAAACTCCTATATATAGGCAGGTTTTCCTAAAATCCAAACTAGTTTTAAACATTATTTTATCTTAAAACGATCTCAGTCTTGCAGGACTGTTGCAAGTAGGACACAAAGAACCTCTTCCCTGAACCTCTTGAGGGTGTTGTGGGCCTGATGCTCCCCGGCCCCCGAGTGCCTGCACCCAGGAGACTCACCTCAAGAGGGGTCAGCCCCCCAGGAAGGTCTTGGGGGAGGGCAGGATGCGCAGGAGAGCCTCGGACCCCGATGCAGACCCGAGGGCCCTGGCCACTTCCGCTGCTTCCACAGAGGGCCAGCCGTGCTGACCGCAATCCAGCCCCGCAGCTTGTGTTGAGCTGACCTGCCCCTTCCATCCCCTCCCATCCGGAACGTTCCTCAGTGTCCTCAACCTCCACACTCCTGCCAGCAGGTGGTCATTCTGTGGAGTGTCCCTCGAGTGGGGCTTGTGTGGTGGCTTCACACGGTCACTCACCTGGTCGCTCACCTGGTTGCTGGGTGAAGGGAGGTCTACCAGGCCTCTCCCTGCGAGTTGTCTTCCCTTTATAATTACAGAGTATATTGTATGAAGCTCTTTGAGATGATGTAAACATCCCATTCCTCGTAAAATTTTATTCATTTTTTAAATCACATTTTAAAATCTCACTTATGGGGCGCCTGGGTGGCTCAGATGGTTAAGCGTCTGCCTTCGGCTCAGGTCATGATCCCAGGGTCCTGGGATCGAGCCCCGCATCGGGCTCCCTGCTCCTTGGGAGCCTGCTTCTCCCTCTGCCTCTCTCTCTCTCTCTCTGTCTCTCATGAATAAATAAATAAAATCTTTAAAAAAAAATAAATAAATAAAAAAAATAAAATCTCACTTATGAGCTGTTACTATCACTATTGTGCACAGATTTTTCCCGAAATGGCCAGAGGGAGCCCCTCGGTCTGGCCTGTGTGTCCTGGTAGGCCGCCATCATTCTGCAAAATGGCCTTCTCCAGGGGCAACGCCTTCAGGCTCATCTTCTTCCTTCCCTGCCCCATCAAGGAGCTGGGTGTTTCTCCAAGGCGCCCTGGCCCCACACTGGAGGCCGCGTAGGGGAGTCCAGGTCCAGGTGCAGGGCATGCTTGTCCCTGCTGGGGTGTTGCTCCTCGTGGGGACTCACAGGGCTCACGTGCATTCGCGTTTATATTTCTGTCTGATGTGCTGGAACCAGGACTCTGTATCACCTGTTCGGATCCAACATGCAGGGTTCATTCCAGTTTTCTCCCTTCCCATATTCACAGCCCCCATTCTCAGACCATCTCTGAGCATCCTCAACACAGTCACTTACTTAACAGGTGCCTCCGTCTACCTCTCCCCGACACCCTCCTACCCTGCTCAGGCTCTGACACCTCACGTCAGGCCGCTGTGCCCCGCTCCCCTACCCCATGCAAACCCTCCTTACTCTGGCCTCCACACTGGGTGCTAGGCTGCCCTCCTGAGCAGTCCCCTTCTCCGGCACCTGGCCTCTGGTGGCTCCCTCACCCCTCGGGGGCAGATGCTCTTGCTGGGCCGTCCCTAATGGTTTCTGGATCTTTCAAGAAGAGAAGTGGAAGAGCTGTAGGTCCCCATGGTGGCATTTGCCAATAACCATTGTAATTGTGGGATCAAACCCTCCGCCCCTGGCAGCGCGCGGTAGCGTCCTCATGCATGCTGGATGCAGCAGGAAGTACAGTTCACGCGGGAGGAGCTCTTGCCAAAAGGATTGAGCCTGGATTCAGTCATGCCCTTCGGCTTCATCAGAAAGACTGTAAAAACGAGAGAATATCCAAAGACTGTGGGACAACCACAAAAGGTGTAACATACCTGTAATGGGAGCACCAGAAGGAAAAGGCAGGAACAGAAGAAATATTTGAAATGATGGTTGAAAATGTCCCCAACTTAACGTCAGACACAGACCTCAGAGCCAAGAAACAAAGCAAAACAAAACAACCAGCACCTTTAAATATCATCTTCAGGGGCGCCTGGGTGGCTCAGTCATTAAGCATTTGCCTTCGGCTCAGGTCATGGTCCCGGGGTCCTGGGATCGAGCCCCGCATCAGGCTCCCTGCTTAGCGGGGAGTCTACTTCTCCCTCTCCCACTCCCCCTGCTTGTGTTCCCTCTCTTGCTGTGTCTCTCTCTGTCAAATAAATAAATAAAATCTTTTAAAAGAAAAAAAAAATATCATCTTCAATTTCTAGAAAATCACATATAAATTTTATATCCTGAAGAAGCTGGGTGGGAGGGGGGACCTTCCCTGTAAAGAAACAAAGATAAGAACCACATCTGACTTTTCAGAAGTCATGCAAGTAGGAAGAAAG